GAATGGGCGCGCTCACTGTGGTTTCCCACTCTAGCGACGTCCTTTCCTTTTATCTGGCGTCTCATGGCCGCCTTTATCTCCGTCGCCATATTCTTGATGATGGTATCATGGTCTCTCAGCTTGTCTTCCAAGTGTTAAGTGTGTGAATCTCGCCGTCGATGACGCTCTTTTGGAATGACAGAGCGCCCAAAACTCCTTGCGCGCTTGTCTCGCGCATCCCAGGGAAGTCCTTGTGCGGTCTCCAAATCAGCCATCGTCGGACTGGCGGACAGGCCATCTCTGCACCGAACAGACTCTGGCGTGATGCCGTCGATGGCGAACAACGAAATGTCGTCGTGGTTCGCCATAAAAGATGAGCAGAAAAGCTTAGAGGACAAGGTTTTGTTTGTCGTTTTCCCACAGACAGCGCCAATTGTACAGGGAACAAATACTCTGCAGAGCCCATACTCCATTCGTCTAAGCTCCTCGTTTGTCTAATCGACCTGCGAGCACAACGACGGTGAGCTACCCGACAGTGTGTGGCCGAAAAACCCCTCCGACGGTCAAGTTAGCACACACTCAGGGATAGAGAGAGGAGAGAGTGTTTTTGGTTTATCTCACAGCCATGCTTATATACTTTATGCGCTCAACTCTGCACCCATTAGTCTCTCGACACATGGAGCTGCTCGGTACGTTATATAGTTTATTTTAAGACTTATATCCATATTTTATTATATTGTCTATGATACACTAGTTATAAATAACATTATTTTTTTGATATTTTTCGAAATCAATTGTAAAAACTTGTGTGAAATATTTTTGTAAAAATTTTCGATATTGTAATTAATAAGTACCCCCCCTAATTTAATTTTCTGGCTCCGCCACTGCCAATCATGCCTGTTTGGTTATGGGTACCGGTGATGGGTTTAGTAAATGTGCACCATGTTAGAAATGATTTTGGAAAATATGATTTTTCCTTAATTTTGGTCTAATTTTTAAGTGGAACCCATGGGTCAAATTTGGTGGGTCTAAATGGTAACGCGTTTTATGCCGCATTGTGATTCACGTGGTACATTTGGTTACTCAAAACTATTATCGGGTAAATGAAAAATTAAAGCCAAAGAGAGCTCCATGGAAATGGTATTTTTGGTGAAATTTCCTAAAGGTTTGATTTAAAGCTTGTCCCACATTGATTTTGTAAGCAAGTTTTGAGTGGATTTATAAGGCATGAGATTGTAACTTAGGGAGGACCTCAAGGGGCACCTCAAGTTTGTAGAAGGGAGAAGTTATGGGCAAATTGAGCTAGGCCCATTGGACCAAAAAATAAACATGCGTCGTCAGCCCGCCCAGTCGTCTGTTCGTCCGGGCGAGCTGGGCTTAGCTTGGGAGCAAGTGTGTGGTGTGGTGTAAGGTTGGGCTTGTCCAGTCCAATACTAATTATTTTTTGGAATTTGAATTTTAAAAATTAATTTCAAAATTGGCTCCGATTTTTCCCCACCTGAACAGATGTATATCTGTGTGAATTTAAACCAAACAGATTCATATCTGTTTGAAATTTAAACCCAACAGGTTCCTTACCTGTTCATTCAAACCGAACAAGTATAATACTTGTTCAAATAGGTTTTGCACCTATTTAATTCAAATCAAAGAGCCACGAATTTTCCTAAATAAAGGCAGTCCCTCATTTGGATTTTCACTCCAATTTTCATCCCAAATTCTACCTGCTCTGCATTTTGCTGCATAATTTTTCCTGTGAGAAAGAGTGGTGCAAACACTAAGTGTGTTCGTTGTGCGAATAATTTGTAGTGCTACTATTATTCGCAGTTAATCATTTTATACTGGGAGATAGATGTCCACAATCTGAAAGCACCGTGCAGAGGACAAATTTGTCTTAAGGACACAGTGTTAAATACTGGACTTGATCATAATTTTGTTCAATAAATACATGAGGTTATTAATTTATTTACTTTCTGTTTTATTATTTTTCCTGGTTTAGATTTTGATTTTGATTTTGTTTTTGTAACAAAATAAAAATCTGTTTTTATTTATTTATTTTATATTCTGGTTTGACTTTTGAAATCAAACAATCTCTCTCATTTTCTTTATTTCTTTTATTTGTTGTTAGGTACACAAACATAATTTATTCGTAATACAGTGAAGATTGTCCAACACACCAATCATGCCTGTTTGGTTATGGGTATAGTAAAGGTGCACCAGTTAGGGGTGAGCAGCGGATATACCGATCCGCCAAAACCGACCGAACCGAACCGATCCGCCGCATTTTGGGCGGATGCGTGAGGACGAGCGGACGGTTGCGGATTGATTTTCTCAAATCCGCCAATTTGGCGGACGGATGGCGGATTTGAGATTTTTTGGCCGCAACCGAACCGCCAAACTGCCAAATCGCGTGCACCCTTAGTAATTTATAAGATTTCGTATTTTCAATTTGTTTAAATATTATGTTTGTGTTTTCAATTAAAAAAGAGTTTAAATATTCTGTTGAAAAAAAGTTTTCAACTTGAATATATTTTTTGAATTGAAAAAAATAAACGTATTATTCATATATATTTTTTAGTTTTTAAATGTAACTCTAAAAATAATAAATAGAAAATATGATATATGCTGGTTGGTTTTTGTTTTCAAAAACATATGTAGATGTAACAATACAGAGACATTCAATCTCTACTACTGCTCTGTTCATGGTTTTGGTGATTTGAATTGTTATTATATTTTAAGAATCACAGATTGTAATACTTTATGGGGATGAATCATACTGTGATTGTAATATGTGGATGAGGCATGCAGTGATCATGATATTCTAAAGTTTCAAACTTTTTTTCTTTCTAATTATTCACATTTTCCCACAATGTTTAGACATAATAATTATATTGATGTTTTGACCAAACTCTTATGAAATTTATATTTATAAGAGAATTTATATTTATAATAGTGAGAGATTGTTGTTGGCCGTGGTAGACTAATGGCGAGATCTATCTCGATGATTTCAATAATTTATCTCTTCTCTAAGTAAATTATTTATGTAAGAATTTACATGGGTCACTTACAAGTATGTTCTATTAATTAGATTTATTTATTCAAAAGTCTTGACAAATAGATTTATCACTGTAAATTTATTCATAAAAATAAGAGAGACTGATAAATTTATCATTGAATAAAAAATGAATAGAACTTAATGGTATTTAAGTCTCTTTAATGGGATTAGTTGGTAATTATCCTAATTTAAATTGGTTAGACAATTATAGTTACTAATCGGATTACATTTTGTTTTTAAAAAAGTGTACCGACTTGAATGATTGTAAAAATTGACCATCCATTATTTTGAAAATAAACTAATAGAATCATATGTGATTATAGTTATTCAATTAATTTAAATTCTTAAATAAACAATTATTTCTCAAAATTTTAAAAAATAAACGTTTCATATTATCGAGGTGAGTCATATGTTGACCCACTTAGGTCCACCAACACCATTTAATTAGAAATTTCTATTTACAGATATCTTTTTCTTAAATGGGTGCATCAATGATGGATTAAAGGAGTGTTGGGGATGATCGTAAGTCTAAAAGTTAAAATAATAATAGTAATAATAAAATCTCATATTATATTATTAGTTAGTATGATAATTTTAAAATTATATGAGTTAACTCTTCAAATTTATATATTCGCATACTAAAATTATATATGTGATGGAAATTTTAAAAATAGTTATAGTCAAATTTTATTAAAAATTATCTAAAATTTTAAGTCTTCAATTACTATTAATCTGTTAGCAAAAATCTGGTTAGGGCCAAAACGACAAACGAGTTTCGACAAAAAATCTAGAATTTCACAAACAACAACAAATCAAGCAATTGTGATTTGAATGTCCTATGCCTTGATAAATTCAATGACTTCTTTGGAAGTTATAATGCGAAGACATAAATGTGAATAGAAGAGAAAACCATTGTTTAGAAGGTATTAAGATGTGTGCGTGTATGCATATGTATATTTGCAAGGTTATTGTACATTAATACAAAGAGTGAAGTTTTGATAAGTGCTTTTAGAACTAGATTTTGAAGTTACACCAACATGGTTTTTATACTCATGCACACCAAGGCAATCAAAAACTGTCTCAAAAACCCAAATGGCATAATCTCGACTATTTCAACTATAGAGAGCCTCTAAAAGTCTCTAATGCTTGCATTGGGGACAAAAGTCAAAACGAAATCGGTCCGCCTCCCCTACTTGCCCTTCATAAGGAATAGTTTGGAGGAGAACGAATTGCCGTAATATTTTGGCACCAAAGCAAGGTACCATTCCATTTATCCCCACTAGAGAGAGGAAAGTTAATCCCAACGCCCTGATGCCAATTCGATCATAGTTGCTAATCTAACAACTAACCTTTGCCGATTAAAAAAAAAAAAAAAGATCGATACCTGGACTTACCATTATTCGAAAGAATTTGGTATAGTTTAGCATTTATTTTTAGTGGGTGTAACGACCCATCAATGCCGCTCATAAATACTCCATAGGTTCAACATGAAACTAAGCAGGATGAGAAGGCACAGATTCAATCAAATGGCTGACTACCCACAACTATAACAGTTCGGCACAACCAAGAAAATGGCATGTTGGGTTGTCATGCAAGATGAAAAGGCCGCGGTAGGTCTCTGCAGCTACGGTAGATATAATGGAGTGACAAACCATTGCACGTCTATTGCTTTTTAAAAAAAATCCCCACTGGATTGTAATTACTCTATTGATGATTTCTGGTAAAGGTTTTCAAACCAAAATGTACAAGAACCAACGGTTGGTTAACCACCAAAACCACAAAAGGAAAAATAAGAAAATACCAACCAAATTAATACATGAGCTACACAATATGTTAACCAGATTTTTTATTTTTCTCAAATAAAAAAGTTTCATCAAATTACTAGTAAAATGCAACATTATTATAAGAGTAGAGAAACTATTGATTGAATCAAACAAAGCATTAAATAAAAATAATATAAACAACAATCTAATTAAATAAGGAAAATACACACGATAATGAGAAGCGAAGAATACCTTATTTTATTTTTTTTCCGACTCCACTCATGCCATCAAAACTTCCAAGTAAACAACCTATTTTATTACAAATGAAAAGAAAAAATATATATAAGAAACTATATACTCTTGATTCCAAGCATTGAAACCTATTAGAAAATAAAACAGTTGCACTCCAAAAGTTCTTGTTCATTAATATAATATATATATATATATATACTAATAACAATAATGCACAGCAAAAAAAATAATGCAAATAGGCACGGCAAAAAAAATAATTCAAATAGTGATCTTGAATCTAGACAAAGATGAACTGAAGAAAAGAATGTAAACCCCTAAGAAGTGTTAGCGTGTCTAGCAATGACAATGAAGTAGAAACATTACCTGAAGACTGAGGGGGCATGTCTCTCGGCCCTTTCGAGTCTCAACCCATTAAAATGATGAAAACAAAGTGATGAAGAATGTGATCTAGTCTCTGTTTATTATGGGAGATTCTATTCCACACTTCTTTTTTTTTGTCTCTGTGTACAAAATTAATGAAGATAAAAGTTATGACAATTTTATCATGAAGCAAAATGACCATAATGACTACAAATTCAATCTAGATTTTCTATATACACATCTTTAAAAAACAATAATTCTCAATGCACATCTTTAAAAAAAAAATTAAAATTAAAACTTAGTTCCTACATTGTTTCTCACTACCTCTATTGTTTTCCATTACTTGCTACACTCCATTGTTACACTCTATCCATTGCTTCCATAAACTACTCTGATATCAAGTACTGAGAAATTGTAAAACATTCAGCACTACAGAACCAATTTAATTTTAAAAAATCAAAATTTAAATATCAAATATTTATAAATAATTCCGAAGTATATAATTGAAAATGTACAATAATTTCGGAATATTTTTTCTGATTGGTGAGTGACTTCTTGTTTCTGAATATTTTTTCTGATTGATCTTTCAGTTCCTTCGGATTTCAATGGCTGCCAACAACAGCCCCTCTGCCCTAGAAAAAGAACAGGTACTTCATACATATACAGACATTGACACTACATATGTATGCTTATGAGATAGGCAAAACTATTAACCGGAAAAGATTACTTTTTTTGATGATTTTGTGCAGATCACGAAACCCCTCTCTTTTTTTCTTGAGATCGCAAAATGGAAGAACAATAACATATTATTGCTTTTATTGTTCACAAATACTGTAGGGATACGGTGGGATGGTTGGGGAAAGAGGAGAGAGAAAGAGGAATTACCTGAAAATGCTTGGGGTTTTCGCAGCAATTGCTTTGGTTCTCCTACTCCTCTTTATTCTCTGTATGCGGCTAGGGCTTCCCAGCAACCACTTCGTTTGCTCATATATATAGCGAGAGAGAGAGAAGGCTTCAATCTGCAATAGTTTTGGTTCCAAAAAAAAAAAAAAATATATTTTATTGATAAGGTCAAGTTTGGCATAAACTAAATAATACAAAAAGTCAAAAAGTTACTATTCTATTTAAGTCACATCATCTTATTTAGGGTTGGTTTGGGGTGTCCTAAAAAAGTGTACTTTTTGTCTTTTTACGAAAAGATGTGCAGAAAAGTAGAGAGGTGATGTGATGGAAAAAAGATAAAAAAAATAAAAATATGGATTATATAGGTTATGCCAAACCAAGCCTTAAATCACATCACCTCTCTAACACATCACATCAAACCCAACCCAAACCCAACCCATATAAGCCAATAAGTCAAAAAGTACACTTTTTTAGAACATCCCAAACCAACCCTAAGTCTAATTTAGAAGTGTTTTAATCTAAAAAGTCTATGAATGAATTTTTTAATCCATTTAGTCCCATGTATGTATAGTTTTATTTCATAAAGTCCATTTTCTTGATTTACACTATTTTCTTAGACACTTATGCCCTTATATTCAATTTTGATACCTTTATAAATATTTTTTGAACGATTAGCAATTTAATGATGTGAACATTCATATTTTAAAATTCACATTGGTAGGAATGTAAAATTGGCCCGTGGGCGGCCCGAAACCCGCCCGCGAGTCGGGCCGGGCCGGGCCCATTGACAATGTGAATATTCACATTGACATGTTAACATTCACATTAATAGGAGTGTAAAATTGGCCCGCGTCCCGTGGCGGCGCGAAACCCGCTCGCGGCCCATGGGCGGCCCGGGGTGGGCCCGGTCCGGCCCATTGACAATGTGAATATTCATATTGACATGTTAACATTCACAATAATAAGAGTATAAAATTGGCCCGCAGCCCATGAGCGGCCAAAAGCCCGCCCGCAGCTCGGGGAAGGCCCGGCCCAGCCCGGCCCATTGACAATGTGAATATTCACATTGACATGTTAACATTTACATTGATAGGAGTGTAAAATTAGCCTGCGCCTCGTGGTTGCCCGAAACCCGCCCACAGCCCGTGGGCAGCTCGGGGCGGGTCCGGCCCAACCTGTTGACAATGTGAATATTCACATTGACATGTTAACATTCACATTGATAAGAGTATAAAATTGGCCAGCAGCCCAGGGGGGCCCGACCCGGCTCGTCCCATTGACAATGTGAATATTCACATTGACATGTTAACATTCACATTAATAGGAGTGTAAAATTGGCTCCCATCCCGTGGCGGCGAGAAACCCGTTCGCGGCCCATAGGCGGCCCGGGGCAGGCCCGGTCCAGCCCGTTGACAATGTGAATATTCACATTAACATGTTAACATTCACATTGATAAGAGTATAAAATTGGTCTGCGGCCCATGGGCGGCCAAAAGCCCGACCGCGGCCCGGCTCGACCCGTTGACAATGTAAATATTCACATTGATATGTTAACATTCACATTGATAAGACAGTAAAATTGGCCCGCAGCCCGTGGGTGGCCCGAAGCACGACTGAAGCCCGAGGCGGGCTTGGCCCGGCCCGTTGGCAATGTGAATATTCACATTGACATGTTAACATTCACATTGATAGGAGTGTAACATTGGCCCGCAGCCAGATCGCGGCCCGAAGCCAGATCGCAGCCCGAGGCGGGCTTGGCCCGACCCGTGACAATGTGAATATTCACATTGACATGTTAACATTCACATTAATAGGAGTGTAAAATTGGCCCGCGTCCCGTGGCGGCGCGAAACCCGCTCGCGGCCCATGGGCGGCCCGGGGTGGGCCCGGTCCGGCCCATTGACAATGTGAATATTCATATTGACATGTTAACATTCACAATAATAAGAGTATAAAATTGGCCCGCAGCCCATGAGCGGCCAAAAGCCCGCCCGCAGCTCGGGGAAGGCCCGGCCCAGCCCGGCCCATTGACAATGTGAATATTCACATTGACATGTGGTTAATGTTACACTCTTATCAATGTGAATGTTAACATGTCAATGTGAATATTCACGTTGTCAACGGGCCGGGCCCGCCCCGGCCTGGGGCCGGGCTTCGGGCTGCCACAGGTCATGGACCAATTTTACACTGTTATCAATGTTTATGTTAATATGTCAATGTGAATATTCACATTGTCAACAGGCCGGGCCCGCCCTAAGCAGCGGGAGGGCTTCGGGCCACCCACGGGCCACGAGCCAATTTTACACTCCTATCAATATGAATGTTAATATGTCAATGTGAATATTCACATTGTCAACGGGCCGGGCTGGGCTCGCCCCGGGCCGCCCACGGGCTTTAAGCCACCCATGGGACGCGAGTCAATTTTACACTCTTATCTATGTGAATGTTAACATGTCAATGTGAATATTACATTGTCAACAGGCCAGGCCGGGCCGAGCCCGCCCCGGGCCGCCCACGGGCCGTGGGTTGGTTTCGGGAAGCCACAGGGCGCGGGCTAATTTTATACTCTTATCAATGTGAATGTTAACATGTCAATGTGAATATTCACATTATCAACGGGTCGGACCGGGCCCGCCCAGGGCAGCCCACGAGTCGCGGGCTGGTTTCGGGCCGACCACAGGCTGCGGACTAATTTTACACTCCTATTAATGTTAATGTTAACATGTCAATGTGAATATTCACATTGTCAACGGGCCGGGCCGGGCCTGTTCCGGCCTAGGCCCGGGCTTCGGGCTGCCTACAGGTCACGGGCTAATTTTACACTCTTATGAATGTTAATGTTAATTTGTCAATAAGAATATTTACATTATGAACGGGTCGGCCCGGGCCCGTTCCGAGCGGTGAGCTAGCTTCGGGCCGCCAACGGGCTGCAGGCCAATTTTATACTCCTATCAATGTGAATGTTAACTTGTCAATGTGAATATTCACATTATCAACGGGCCGAGCTGGGTCTATTTTTTTGGCATGTGGGCTGGCCCGGCCCAACTCGAATTTTTTCGGGCACCTACGAGGATCGACATGGGCCGGGCCCCTACACATTGACGATATGAATATTCACATTGACGGTGTAAACATTCACATTAGGGGTATTTTGGTAATTATGTCACCCATAGAATTTATTGAAATATAAGAAAATAATGTGAACTAAATGGAACATAAGTAAATGCAAAGGGTATTTTGGTCTTCTTATCTCAAATTGGACCTAATGGAATAGTCAAAAAGAATATGGGTTGGATGGAATAAAGCTTTTAGAAAATAGATTTATCAAAAAAACTCCCTTTTGTTTTTTATATATATATATATATTATCTCAATTGTCAATTAAAGAAATTAAAATAAAGAATAAAGATATATTTGGCTCAAATTGTTAAAAAGTTAATTTTGCTAAAATAAATTGGAAAGAAACATTAAATTTTTTTCTTTTAATATTAAAAGTGATAGTTCGTTAAACTTTTTTTATTTAGAAAAAAAAATTAAAAAAGAGGATTATAGGTGATAATTTATTATTCATCTAAAATTATTTTCAGATCAAATGAAAATATAACTTTTTTATTCAAATACTTTTATTTTGTAAGAAATTTGTTTTTATTCTATTTAATATTTTATTGTAATTTTTAAATTAAAAAGAATTTCTAAGAAATCATATTTAAATTATTTATGCCATTATAAAAAGTAATTTTTTTTAATATCAACTTAGTGGTAGTTTGGAAAGTGCAAAATAAGTATACATTTTTACTTTTTACGAATATATATACACAAAAGTAGAGATGTGATATAACATAAAAAAGATAATTAAGTACACTTTTTATTTTTACAAAAAGATGTGTAGAAAAGTAGAGATGTGATATGATCCAAAAAATATAAAAAGATAAAAAAGTGAGTTAATAAGAGACTTCCCAAACAACCTTGTCAGAGCTTTCTAAAAAGTGTATTTTTTTAAACAACTTCAAGAAAAATTCTATTAGAAATCTTAAGTATATTGCTTTTTCTTTTGTTTATTAATATTAAATTTTTAATTAATTTTATTTATTGTTTTAAAAAAATAAATTAGCAAATAATATATATATATATATAATATTTTGCTTTTGTTGTTCAGGTTTTTTGGTGTTTCTGCCCAAGTCCACTCAAATTTAATTTGAATTTTTGAATTTCTGCATAGATCCTCACTTAATTTAAAACTATATTGTTCAATCTTTAAAAAATTTTAAGCTCAACTCAAGTTGTTTGGGTTGAGCTTACCTAAAGTTTGCAATTCTAACAAGGGGGTTAAAAGTTATATGATTAAATTTATGACAAATTAAAAATTAATAAATAAAGTGTGATAAAATTGTGAGACTTAAATTGTAAATTTCAATCTTCTTTATTTTCATAATTTGCAAATAAAAATTTAACTATTTATATTATTTTGTATAAAAATATATTATTAATTTTTTGTATATACCGTGCATAACACGGGTTACTACTAAAAAAATAACACTCCAACTATATTATTAATTTTTGTATAAAAATATATTATTAATTTTTTTTATATGCCGTGCACAACCCGTGCTATAAACGTTTATGTACTTTTTTTTAAATAAAAAAAATTAACTAAATTAGTCAATTCCTAAAATAACCCTGAGTGTTAATCATTTAACAGTCAACCTCAAAGAAAATAATAATATTCTGATAATTATATTTGTGTTGTACATTTTATTTAAGAAAAAATGATTTTTTTCATTCATGATATAGTGCAATGAAACTCAATGAATTATAATAATAATAATCAAATACAATACATAATTAATAAAAATAAATTCTCAAAATGATAGAAAAAAAAATCTTAACAAATACACGAGAAACAAAGATCTCAAATTGTAAACAAAAGAGAAAACTCACGTTTGAAAAAAAATAATAATTTAAATAAATGGCCAAAAAATGGAAAATTATAAAATATTCTCATAGGACGTGTCCGTACTCTCTAATCAATCATTATTCATTATACTCTCTCATGTCCTTTAATCACCCAACACAATACTCCACCTACTCACATTCTTCACCAATTACAATAGTATAGAGTGCAATATGTCTATATTCTGGAATGGCTAAATAGTTACCCAAGAACAAATAAGGGAAATGAGAGGAGAGAGAAAGTGGATTTGCAGAGTAAAAATTAAACATACAAGGAAAATATGTTTAGAAAATTTCAACATATAGGAAATTGAATTGTTATTTTAACAGATAAAAAAATTTGTACAGATAAAAAATTAGACACATAAGGGAAACAAATTGAATAGATAGTCAAAAAAATTGAATAGATAGATATAAATTTGAACAAATAGTAAAAAAAATTAACAGATAAATTAAGCCGTAAAATTGAAAACAAAATATCCTCTAAAACTAACAAAAGGATTTCTCACCAAACTATTTCACAAACCTCTCACCAATAATTTTACAGATCTTTCAGTAACAAAAAAATATTCACTAAATCAAATTCCTTATATGTTCCTTAGATTGAACTTTTTTACAATTTTTGATAACTAAAACCAAAATATTCAAAACGAAATTTTTTAAAATGAAAGCAAATAGAGGTAACTTCTCACTAATCTCTAAGTTTAGAAAATTTATTTCAAATTCCTTTGAAAAACAAAAGACGGAAGGACGTAAACATGTTTTATACTTTTTATTTTTTATTTTTTATACAGGTTATACGGTACATTCAAATGCCATCATTGATTATTTTATGTTTCATCTGTCTTAATTACATAATCCCTGTCAAATATTATTCAAAAATGAAATTTTTTTATCAATTTTTTAGTGATCTTGTTGCTGACTATGTTTCTTCTTTATTAAATATTTTTAAAAAAGATATACACTCTTGTGTTCTACTCGATTACACCAACTAAAAAATAAAATAAAAAGAGTCAAAATTTTGGAAAAAAGTCCACACAAAAAAACTAATAAAAAAAGCAGGGGAAAAAAAAAAGTGACTTTTGTAAGTGGAATCCAAAACTTACCCTAACCTTTTCAGAATTCGATGCCAATAGTAATTGTTCATAATTTTAAATAGTTTGGAGGACTTCCATTTACACCATAGATGCACACCCAACATCTTTTCTTAACTCCCATTCTTTGAATCTTACGATCTAAGGTTCTTCAAATGACTAGTGTCATTGAGCTTAAGTTCGTTTTTTTTCTTTTTTTAAAGAAATGTAAATGAGTGACCATTTTATTATTTTCTAGAGAAAATCAATGTCCTTAATTGTGTGCATGGTGGTCTTCCCTAAAATTAATGCATGCTGTGAGTTTTCCTTACAGTTTTTTAGGCATTATATTTGATTTTTTTTACTACAGACATTATTTGACCTTTAATAAATACCTAATAGACCGTTTGTAAGACCCTAAATAATATAATATGACACCTAATTCATTATTCTAATAAATAAAAAAAAGGCTAGGTTTCCCTCCAGTCCGATACTGCTGGACCCGTGAGGGCCCATCACGGGTCTTATTTTGATAATCCGAACTGTTTAATGTGTAAAACTCGTCGGTACTATATGTCTGTAAAAAATCACGTTGATCGGATATCGATAGCTATCTCATCGGATCAGATTTCTGTCAACTGTTTATTTTTTCACCGTCCATTTTTTTATACAAAATTGATTTGATCATATAACTATTGATATCCAATAAACGTGATTTTTTACAGGCATATAGTAATCGACGAGTTCTACATATTAAACGGTTTAGATTATCGAAACGAGTCCTGTAATAAGTTCCCACGAGCCCAACAGCATCTTTCAATCCTGGAGGAAAGCCAACTCCTAAAAAAAAATCTAAAGTATGAAATTTTGATATTCATTTTAGGGGAAATTACACTGACATAAGTCGGTGAAAAACTATTTACAAACAAATAAAAAAATATTATAAATATTAATAATTAATGTTATAAACTTTTTTTTATTAATTTATAATATTTTTCATCTAACACCACTGTTAGCTAATTCTCCCTTTACTTACCCAAAAAAATAAAAAAAGGAGATAATTCTCCCTGTTTGATTATGTACGATAGGAAAAGTTTCTTAAAATCACCTAAATGAATACATTGTTATTCTTTCTTTATTATTATTATTGTTTATTAAACTTTACAAACAAATAAAAAATATTATAAATATTAATAATTAATGTTATAAACTTTTTCTCATTAATTTATAATTTTTTTTATCTACCCAATTGTTAAGTGATTTCCCCCTTCATTTTACTTGCCTATTAAAGAGTGTTTAATTATGGTATGGAAAGGTTTCTCAAAACCACCTAAATGAATTGATTATGATAGAGTTTGGGAGGTGGTTATGTGAATTGATTTTTTAATTATTTATAAAAAATTATGTAAAAAGTAAAAAGGGTGATATGATTGTGTGCTATAATTAAAAGGCCACCACCTCAAACGGGCTTTCAATGTCATATGTGAGGTATTTGTAAACTTTAAATTATTTGTATGTTTTGCATTATTAAAGTTAAAATGATTTATATTGACTTCATTCAGTATCACTTATAAATTAACTTATTACTTTAAAAAAAAGTTGATTGATGGTACATTTTAAATTCTTTAAATGTTTTGAATTATTGAAGCTAGCAAAGTTTATACTGGCCTCATTTAGTATCACTTATAAATTAATTAATTAAATTTATTTTTTTAAAAAAAGTTGACTTATGGTGTTTACTTATTTATAAATTTTAGCTTTTTTGGTTTATTTAAAAATCTTAAATATATATGGACAAAAAAATCCCATTTTGTTTATCATAATTGTAACTTTTGTTATGGTTATTTGTATAACAAAAAAGTTATGGGACAACTCATTTAGCAAAATAGATTCAATTTCTTTTCACAAATTATAATAGTTGATCAAAGAAATTCATAACTTTTTAAAGTATTTTAAGTTAATAATCTAAAATGCTATAATCATGAAAGTAACTTATAAGTAATACCAAACGACCCTATTAAAAAAAGATATAAGCATATTTCATGTGCAACGTACGTGTCCTACCACTAGTATATATATAAATGTATAGATAATATATATGATGTGTCTCTTAACTACAAAGAACAGTATATATGTGTTTTGAAACAAATAAGACAAATATAACAGTAAAAAAAAAATGTAAATAAACATAAAAAGACTAGCCAAATATATGCACACACCCAACCCAAACGAAGGAGAAAATGAAAACAAACAATAGAGAATAGTGAATCTAATGAGAAATTATTCAATACTCCAAGTAAATCACCAATTACTTAATCTCATGTTGTTCTTTATCCTCAACATAAATTATGAGCCTTTATGTCTCTCTATCAATCAAAACCTTATAGAGCACCACGTATTCATATTTTAGAGAAAACAAGCAATCGAGAATAGTGAATCTAATGGGAGATTATTCAATACTCCTGGAATACATGTGGTCATACTCCAAGTAAATCACCAATTACTTAATCTCATGTTGTTCTTTATCCACAACATAAATTATGAGTCCTTATGTCTCTCTACCAATCAAAACCTTATAAAGCACCACGTATTCATACTTCAGGAGTACTGAATCACCCGAATCTAATAAACATAAACATCCAATAAACATATATCTCCCCAAAATATGAACACATACTTTAGACCTAACAGAACAAAATCTTAACTATATACCATTTAACAATTTTAAAATACCAACAAACAATATATATCTATACTATATATAAAATGAACACTTTTTATGGTGTCTTAAAGCCTTGGTTTTTTATGCTACAATGTGTCCACTTTTTTATTTAAAAAAAAAAAAATAGATAGATGAGAGAAAGGGACTTGAACCTTGAACTTATGTCAAGTGAAGAAGTCTCTTACCCCTTGAGTAGCATACTATATATAATAAATATTTTATTTTATTTTTGCTTATTTGAATTGTACACGCATCGCATGTGCCAACTGCTAGTATATATATATATATATATATATCTCTAGTATCTACTTCTAAACTTTTCATCAACCTCTGCATGGCTATGGCTCATGAGATTTTCTTCCTCACCATCATAAACCTGATATAATCAAACAATGAAAAATTAAAATTCAAAATTATAGAGTTAAATAGTATATAAAATTGTAAATTCTCACCCTCGTGTTTCATCGGTTTCTTTGTCGATTTTGTTCATGGCATCCCAAACCGTCATCCGCGGCAACCAATGAAAAGGGTACTTGTAGCGGGCAACATCCAATATCAAAAGCATGTTTCTGCCCTTGTGATATGCAGCCATTGGTGAAAAATGACCATCGCCCGTCTAAATTTCAAAAAATAATAATAATAAATTTAATTTACTATATTATAATAAAAGTCATAATATCATAAAAATAATTAAATCAATATTCAAATCTAAAACAAAATAAATCAATAAATTACCTGATTGATCGTCTTCCTAGAGTAGGACAGAATCATATACAACTCTTCTGTTGAAGTCGTTTGGATCACACAGTTTGTAAATTGCTCTAAAGAGCTATGTTGAGTCTTGAATGCTTCAATGTCGACATGTTTCCTAACAAGTTCAACAAAACCGTCAAATGTGATTTCTTTTTTCTGGACTATGACTCATGAGATTTTCTTCCTCACCATCATAAACCTGATATAATCAAACAATGAAAAATTAAAATTCAAAATTATAGAGTTAAATAGTATATAAAATTGTAAATTCTCACCCTCGTGTTTCATCGGTTTCTTTGTCGATTTTGTTCATGGCATCCCAAACCGTCATCCGCGGCAACCAATGAAAAGGGTACTTGTAGCGAGCAACATCCAATATCAAAAGCATGTCTCTGCGCTTGTGATATGCAGCCATTGGTGAAAAATGACCATCACCCGTCTAAATTTCAAAAAATAATAATAATAAATTTAATTTACTATATTATAACAAAAGTCATAATATCATAAACCGTCATTGGCGGCAACCAATGAAAAGGGTTCTTGTAGCGGGCAACATCCAATATCAAAAGTATGTCTCTGCCCTTGTGATATGTAGCCATTGGTGAAAAATGAACATCACCCGTCTAAATTTCAAAAAATAATAATAATAAATTTAATTTACTATATTATAACAAAAGTCATAATATCATAAAAATAATTAAATCAATATTCAAATCTAAAACAAAATAAATCAATAAATTACCTGATTGACCGTCTTCCTAAAGTAGGACAGAATCATATACAACTCTTCTGTTGAAGTCGTTTGGATCACACAGTTTGTAAATTGCTCTAAAGAGCTATGTTGAGCCTTGAATGCTTCAATGTCGACATGTTTCCTAACAAGTTCAACAAAACCGTCAAATGTGATTCCTTTTTTCTGGACTATGGCTCATGAGATTTTCTTCCTCACCATCATAAACCTGATATAATCAAACAATGAAAAATTAAAATTCAAAATTATAGAGTTAAATAGTATATAAAATTGTAAATTCTCACCCTCGTGTTTCATCGGTTTCTTTGTCGATTTTGTTCATGGCATCCCAAACCGTCATCCGCGGCAACCAATGAAAAGGGTACTTGTAGCGGGCAACATCCAATATCAAAAGCATGTCTCTGCCCTTGTGATATGCAGCCATTGGTGAAAAATGACCATCACCCGTCTAAATTTCAAAAAATAATAATAATAAATTTAATTTACTATATTATAACAAAAGTCATAATATCATAAAAATAATTAAATCAATATTCAAATCTAAAACAAAATAAATCAATAAATTACCTGATTGACCGTCTTCCTAGAGTAGGACAGAATCATATACAACTCTCCTGTTGAAATCGTTTGGATCACACAGTTTGTAAATTGCTCTAAAGAGCTATGTTGAGCCTTGAATGCTTCAATGTCGACATGTTTCCTAGCAAGTTCAACAAAACCGTCAAATGTGATTCCTTTTTTCTGGACATTCCCCATGATCTCCGAATCCCCGATCATGGGATCCTCAAACCAACAGCATTGAGACAAAAACATAACAAGCATTAATTATTGGAGCATAAGAGAACGAAAGGGCAACAGGAAAGCAAATCAAATATGAGAGCAATGAGCCCCTGGGATGCAGTGTGGTTGCTCTGCCCTTTGCATGGCAGCCACTGCTGTGAGATGTAATAAGGCTCACTTCAGGTCCTATCTGAATGATCCAAATCACTCATTTTTTAGTGTACATCAATTAGTACATTCTCGTAAAAAATTAAGTCGATCAGATATCGATAGCCTCCTAATCAGAACAAATTTATATTCACTTTTATACTAAAAAATACACCAAGCGTTTATTTTTGTAGATACAAATTTGCCCTAAACATAAGCCGATTAATGTCCAATCAATTTGATTTTTTTCAAGAATGTTCTACTCGACGTACCCTAAGAAATGAACGGTTCGGATTATTAAGGAGTAACCCAAAGTGAGCCCTATTACGCTCACAACAATAGCCACACTGCATCCCCTGCTTATGCCCCTTTCATTTCATTGGCCACCTCATCATTAGTGATGCCATAGTAATTTAGATTTAATAATGTCACATTGAAATATACATGGTAGCAAATTCAATTACAAAAATCAATATAACAATCTTTCCTAAATAATTACAAGTTTAACAAATAGAAACTCTAAGACTAAACTGAACTTTTTTAAACACATTGAAACAAGTTTTCTACTGAAAATTGAAACAAAATTTAGCAACCTCTTCAGATAAAAAGGGAATTTATTGAAGGAAAACACATTAGGAAAACTAAACCCAACCGCTTTTTTATTAGATCTAAAGGTGGCCCAATGAAATGAAGAGGGGATAGAAGGGGATACTGGTATCAAATTTTTTTTCCCCTCACAACTATCTATACAACCAAAAAATTATTGCAAATATACTACCCAAAAATTATTGCAAATATACTAACATTTCTCATTGCATAAAAAAGTCAAAAAATAAAAAATCACTAAAAAAATTAAGTTGTAAAACTCACACTCAAATTCATCAAAAATCTGTCAAAAGAAGAGGAAAACAACAAAACCCTACTTGCAACATAAATCAAAAAATTGTTTTAGGACAAATCAACAATAAGTTACCATTCTATGTTTTTTACTTTTCGCACATTTTTTTAATAAAAATTGAAAAAGTTATTCTCAAACACCTTTTATACTTTTACAACATATTTTAATCAAAACCCAAAAAATCACTAGAAAAACACTTCCTAAACGAACCCCTAATCGAAAAACCAATCCAGCCTCAATGGATTGAATACTAGAAAAGGAGGCTTTAGACACAGAACTTTTAGTGACGGTTTAAAAATCACAAAAAGCTTAAAAAACTGTCGCAAACTTATTTTTTTGCCGATGACATTTGATTTTCGCAAAAAAGACACAGACTAAATATCACTATTAGAGACGGAAAATTCAAGACTGTGCCAAAAAGTAATATTGTACACGACAGTACGTTGCCCATCGTTTTTTTTTTTTTTGCGACGCCCTTTGTTAATCCATTGCAAAAGATTTTCTTTTTTACTCATTAGTGACAGTCCTTAAACCTGTCGCAAAAACTTAATCCTTAATTACCCACATGCCCTCCCCCTCCCCCTCCCCCTTTCCCTCTCATCTCTAAACTTTGGTAATTGATGTTGCAAGACTACTTTACATTTGGAAGTTCAATAAGTTTTGATTATTCACACTACTACAATAATGCTTAAAGATCGCATAAGAAAAATTAAAAATATCTCATTTTTATTATAAGTGTAATTAAAAAAATTAAATAATATTTCAATCATAGTTAATTTAGTTGAGTGAGATAATATTTATTTTTAATCTCAACATCCAAGTGTGATTATATAATTTTTTTTTAATCACAGTTTCTGTATAAGTGTGATTGTGTATATATTTTTAATTTTATTTTTATATTTATATAATTAGGCATGAGGGTTTTTGAATTTGTCCTAAGGAAAAATATTATAGGTACCAAATTTTCTACCAAACAAATGATTAAATGTCTCACATAAATGTGAGGTCTATAAAATTACAGAGCCACATTTAATCATTTATTTAATATAAAATTTGGTATTCCTAACATTACCTTATCCTAAGTGATAAGAAATTGTCTTAGAAATACATTTATAACCAACTATTCAGATCAATATCAAAATCTAAGGGCCAAATATATAACATTGCCTGCCTCTTTGGATTCCTGCTCATGAATACCAATCACACCTCCCCCTATCTTTCACAGACGTCCTCCACTCTCTCTCTCTCTCTCTTCTTGGTTTTACCTATGGCAACTTTGTTGAAATTCGAGTGCACTATTTGATCAAATACAAGGTAGACCGGTCGACACAACCAACGAGAAAGAGAAAGCGCCATCAAGATCGGTATCCTCTTCAAATTTTTCCCCCCTTTCCTTGGCATAGCTAGCGTTTCTTAGTTCATTGTTTGTTTATTTTTTTGTCGATTTTTCTTTTTGGGCATTTTTGTTTTGTGTGTGTCTCTTTGTATGCATACACTAAGTTCTGTAAAATGCCTCACATGTCTCTACATTTTTTTTCTAAAATGGGTCTCCAAAATGCCTCAAAATTTTTATTTGGGTTTTCGTTGGGTGTCTAACATATGCAACATGAGAGTGTAATTTTTTAGGGGGTAATCCAATGGCCCCATCAGCATGAGACTCAGGAACAGAATGTTTACAAAAGAGATTAAACTTTGAATTATCAAAGCCCGTGTTTTCAGAAATAGAAGTATGGAAACTATTTCTTTCTCGTTGTAATCTACTAATTGAAAATTCGTCCTGATTACTATATCTTTTGTTGGGTGGGTGGGTGAGTGGAAGGGGGATTCAATTTTCAAGATATTAGTCTCCTTTCCTTTTTGTTCTTTTTGGTGAATGATCGGTTAAGGCCGTTGATCTAATTACTGAACACGCATGCTGTCACCCCATCTGCAAAAATATGGGCTGATCTTATATTGAAGCAGCCAATTAAAATGTTGATCTAATGCTTCATACCACTCCTTACTTCCTCAAATCTTCAATTAGGGTATCAGATATCTAAATACAATTAAGGAAGTCTGCACTCATCTACTTATACTGACAGAATGGACTCTCAAATCTCTAATATTGTAATAAAAAAAAAAAAAAACCATAAAATTCTTAGTACAGCATAACATTCTTTTAAAGTGTTCACATCCAAAAAACTATTTCTGAATTAATAAATTTATTGTAGCATATTCATACTAGTATATTACAGTCTCTCCTTGAGCAATCAATGTCAAGGTATGACATGTGATCGCTCAGATTTTACCAAAATATTAAGCAAACTTAATGGAAAAGTCTATATTTGGGGGAAATTATTAAGAACTGGACCAATTTGTAATAATTCTCTACAACTCTTTTTGTACGAAACTTTGTGTTTGCATGATGTTATGCTATTACATGATCAAACATGACAACTAATTTTGTTTATGGACTGGTTTAAATGAATTTACTCAACAAGTAGATTTATCTGCATCATGGCTCTTCATTCATAAGTATCTCAACCTTAAGTGGTGTTATGACCACCTTGAAAGGTAACTACAAGCTTTTTGGAATATAATGTGCCTATTACTACCAAAACATAAATAGAACATGTACTAGAAAATGTCTCTAGCTCTGTCAGCAAAGCTTGTTAGAGATGGAATAGAGACTTGGGTTCTAGTCAAGTCACCCTTCGAGCTTGAACATCATCTCATGAACTGAGTTTATGTTGGCCTTCTATGACCTGAGTTTTTGGATCAGATATAGGGGGTTCTGAAATGGACAGTAGGAGAATTACTACCAGTCCTTGGCTGTGATGACCGAGAAAGGTTTGATTGTGTTTCTCATTTACATTATGTAATTTGTTTCTCATTTCCAGTCTAAATTGTTTCTCATTTACTTCTCACAACCAGGAATATTGCCTCAATTAAAATTTGTCTCTTTCCCCCTCTATATTTTGTGTCATCATGCATACACCATGTTAGGTAAAAGCCTTAATTAAAATAGTTTATTTTCTTTTGGTTAAACCAGTTGTTTATATAATTCTAACTTTTTGTTGTTCAAATAGTGAGTGAATCTATTATAACGGACCAAGTAAATGACTAAACAACCTTTCCAAAATGTAGTGTGGTGGTAAGTTTAGCAAAAATAGAGGTATATTCAAATGGGTAATGCAAACAGTGGGAGTTGGATATTATTTTTAGTAGGCAATTTTTAAGGAGTTGATTTTGGATAATGGATAATGGAGCTTGCTTACTTATATTTTCTACTCTTTAGAATAACATAGGCACAAATTTATTAAGATCATTTGAAACTTTCATTTGCCTCTAAGATTAAAAATTTAAAACTTCCACTCTCTCTATGTGATGCTTTTAATTTTATTTTTGGAGATGTAGGCCCCCAAAGTCCATCAAGGACCAAGGTTGAGAGCTGTGAGTTTTCTCTATTCCAACTGCGCCTTCTAGTAAGTTTCTCCTTTATCCTTTATTCCCAATTTTACTACTTTAAATTAAGTTCCATTTGGATACTCTCTCTCATGCTTTTGTGTTTTTGTGGGTATGCTTTCTTTCATATTTGTCAATTGATTTGGTAAGCAATTTCATCAAAAAAAAATTTTGTTAACCAATGCTTTTATCAATTGATGTCATGAAATGGTTATGTAATATATCTTTTTTTGTTTCAAATTAGAAGGTACTCCCTATGATTTTATTTTTCCTTTAAAATGAGCGGTTTCTTCGCTACATAGCCGTGGTGTGTCAACCTCTTAAGCAATTTCGGAGTTCATATTAATTCAAACCATGGACAATATCAATATCAACATCAATATTGAGGCCTAATTTTTACTTATTATTATATCTAATTTCTTCATAATAAAATGCTTTTGTATCATGTTTAACAGCTGTATAAACGGGTAATATTAGATCCATATACCAATTTTTTTTTTAATTTAATCTGCATTTTCTTAATGAGTTGTACTACATGTAAATATGACATAACTTTCATCATTGTAGTTTTTGTATGTTTTTTTTTCCTCTAAATTATCTGCCAATTGGGGTTTTGTACTAAAAAGACAATCTCCAACACTAGAAAATGTACTGATACAATGCCATAGAAGTTACAAAAACACATACACGTACCCTGCATCTGCAGCTGGTACTCTAAGCAGTTGCTTGTCTTTGGGCCCATTGTCCTATGCTACCATGGTGGTGAACTAAAGGAAGATTGGTTGCTGATGGATTATTATGAGAGCTCTACAGCAACTTACCATTTTCTTTCAATGGTCGTCATCCCTGTTCCTATGCTTCTAGAGACCTCAGCTTCAGCTTTAATCTTACAAGCCTTACATCAGTTCACATTTGCAGCCTTATTAGCAGCCTTAGTGACACGTGAATGTGACCCCCAAAAAAAAAATAAAAAATTGACAAGTAGTTCTGTTAGCACTTGATCTTTTCTCGTAACATGTAGCTTGAATTGTTCATATTCTTTAACATCTCTTGTGGTCAAAAGTTATGAATCTCTTGATTGCCTATTGTAATATCTCTTCACTTTCACATATACATCATGCACTTTGATCATGGAATGCAAGTAGTTTTTGTGAATATTATTTGCACATAGATTGGCAAGCATAAGTTATCGCTCTTTAAGAGCGTTGTGTTGATTTCTGATGCGTATCAAGAATATGGATATGCAAGCTTCAAAGGAATTCCTTGCTGAACTGAAGGTGTAGTATTTGATATGGATTTTGTTAACATTTAGAACCTAGAGTAATTGGAATTGATTTCATTTTTGGGAATCCTTTTTATTTTTAATCCTCCAGAATTTAACATCATATTATGGTAATTTGATGACCATTATATTTACATTGTGCCATTTACCAGCAGTTAAGAGTCCTCGGGCTTTAGATGGAGTTGGGATTTGCTCTGTTTTTTCTCTGTTGGCTACTTGTACCTAACCACCACTGTACACACACTAGGGAAAATGATATCAACCTTCACTTGATCAACTCACACAACACATCAAACTGGGGTTGAACTCCATTAAACACACACTCAATGCTTATTGCTTTGTGGACTGCTTTAACTCATAAAACAGGGCACCTCAATATATAGCTACATAATAAACTTTCATGTGGTGTAAACCTTTTGCACTGTGACTTGTGGATGGACTCGTGCAATGTATTACCTGTTTAGTCTAATCTGGTTTTAAAATTACTCAACTGCACCCAAATAGCAACTCTTAAGTCTTGCTAGTAGATTATGTTGACAACACATCACCACTATGACTATTGTATTGTTCATGTGGCACAATTTGAGTGCCTTACTGAAGTAACAATGCCCAAATGGTTTCCTATAAAAATTGGTTTTTAATGTTAGTTTATTAATTTGAATCTTTCAATTGGAGTCATAGAACTTTTTACAAGATTGTATGAAGTTTCTTCGTTTTACATGGCATATTTTTCAGTGGTGCTCTTTGCCTGCTGGCTGCATTCCAGTAGCGATTATTATGTGTGAATTTCAGAATTTGAAAAATTCGTTCAAATTTGCTTGGGTTTCAAAATTTTGTTTTTAAATAACATGAGTTTGGTTAAAAAACTTTAATTATTGTCATTAGACTTGAATGTTCTCCAAAGTTTTCTCTTGGAAGGTCAAAACATGAAATAATCTATATCCATTAGTGTCTAGTTAAATTTTTAGTATTTTATTTCAACCTTCTTATGGAGTATTTTCCTACTTTGAATCGTTTAAATGTTAGGTCGTTACCCTCAAGTAACGCGTTGCGCTTGCCTCCTGGTGTTTCAAAAAGTGAGCAAGGGGCGCTGCATCGACGCTTGGGTGCGGTGAAAAACGGGCAAAGGTTTCCGCGTTTTTTTGGACGAGCGCGGGTAAAGAAGCTAGTCCAAAACTACAGGTTTAGGGTAGCCACTTGGAATATAGGAACCTTAACTGATAAGACGATGGAATTGGTAGATGTTATGATTAGGAGGAGAGTTAGTATAGCTTGCGTACAAGAAACTAAGTGAACGGGTGAGAAAGCTAGAGAAATTAAGGATACTGGTTTTAAACTGTATTATAGTGGGTAACGACAGATGCAGAAATGTGGTAGGAATCATAATTGTCAAGAATCTGGTGGAGAATGTAGTGGCGGTCATTAGGAAATGGGATAGGATTATGCTAGTTAAACTAGTTATTGGAGGGAATATAGTAAACGTTATTACTGCATACGCCCCTCAAGTAGGATTAGATGATCAGACTAACAAGGATTTTTGGGAGCAAATGGATGAGATCTTACAAGAGATGCCCGTAGGAGAAAACCTGGTTATAAGTAGAAATTTTAATGGCTATGTAGGCATAGATAAACTAGGCTATGAAAGGGTGCATGGTGGATACGGTTTTGGTGACAAAAATGAGGCTGGAGAGAGTATCTTAGATTTTGCGTTGGCTTCTGACATGGTGGTGGCCAATGCTATGTATAAGAAGAGGGAGAAGCATTTGATAACTTTTAAGAGTAGGTCAGTTAAGGGCTAAATAGATTATTTCTTAGTGAGAAAAGTGGACCGCTTAAAATGCAATGATTGTAAGGTGATTCCTAGAGAGAGCCTGACCTCTCAACATAGGATTTTGGTACTAGATTTATGTTTTAGAGGGCAATACCAAGATAGGAAGGATGGTGGGCGTCGTAGGACGAGATGGTGGGACCTAAAAAGGGATAAATTAGAAATATTTAAGAATAGAATGAATAAGGAAGGTACTTGGGACTTGGAAGATGATGCTAACACTATATGGAACTCGATGGCTAATTGTATGAGGATAATCTCAAGGGAAGTGCTTAGAGAGTCGAAAGGGACAGGACCCAACGCCAGGGAAACTTGGTGGAGGGAAGAGGTTTAAGCGGTAGTTAAGGCAAAGAAGGAGTGCTTTAAAAAGTAGCAGAAGGATAGAACTGAGGAAAACCTTAAGAGCTGTAGATTGGCTAGTAAGTCAGTCAAAAAAGTAGTGAGAGAGGCTAAGTTGAAAGCTTATGATGACCTATACACTAGATATTCACCCAAAAAAAAACCTATACACTAGACTAGATAGTAAAGGAGAGAAGAGAGTATACAAACTTGCTAAGATACGAGAAAGGAAAACAAGAGATTTTAATCAAGTTAGGTGCATCAAGAGTGAGGATTCTAAGGTATTGGTGAAGGAAAGATAGAAGAACTATTTTGAAAAACTATTAAATGAGGAATATGGAGGTACGACAGTAGGGGAAGAAATGGCTAGTAATACGATAAACCAAGACTAGGTTTTATCGCAGGATTAAGAACTTTGAAATGAAAATTGCACTTAAGAAGATGAAATCAAATAAGGCTTTAGGACCCGATGATATCTCTATTGAAGCTTGAAAGTGCTTGGGTAAAAAAGAGGTTGCTTGATTGACTAGATTGTTTAGCAAAATTTTGTTGACTAGGAACATGCCATATGAGTGGAGGAAGAGTATTTTAGAGCCAATATATAAGAACAAAGGAGATGTCCAGAATTGCAACAACTATAGAGGAATCAAGCCAATGTGTCATATAATGAAAGTGTGGGAGAGGGTGATGGAACGCCGATTGCGAGATATAATAGAGGTGTCAGAGAATCAATTTGGGTTTATACCCGGCAGGTCAACAATGGAAGCGATTTATCTTTTGAGAAGAGTAATAGAAAAGTATAGAGAAAAGAAAAGAGACATTCAAATGGTGTTTATTGACCTTGAGAAAACATATGATAGAGTGTCCCGAGATATAATATGGTGGGTGTTAGAGAAAAAAAGGGTAACAAAAGGTTACATTAATGTGATTAAGGACATGTATGAAGGAGTGGTGACCACTATTAGATCGTCTGTTGGAGAAACAAATGAATTTTCTATTACTGTTGGATTACACCAAGGATCTACCTTAAGCCCTTATCTTTTTGCTTTAGTTATGGATGAGTTGACGAGAAATATTCAGGATGACGTGCCATGGTGTATGCTTTTTGCAGACGATATCGTGTTAGTGGATGAGACTAGAGGAGTTAATACAAAGTTAGAGATTTGGAGAAGAGTTCTTGAATCTAAAGGTTTCCGGATAAGCAGAAATAAGACAGAGTACACGGAGTATAAATTTAGTAACAGTAATAATGAAAGCAAAAGAGAAGTGAAGATTGAGAACCAAGAATTGCCTAAGAGTGAATATTTTCGTTATTTAGGGTCGATTATCACAACAACGGGGGAAATTGATGCGGATGTGGCCTATAGGATTAAAGCGGAATGGTGTAAGTGGAGAAGTGCGTCTGGGGTATTGTGTGATAAACGAATACCCACTAGACTCAAAGGTAAGTTCTATAGAATGGCTATTAGACCAGCGATGTTGTATGGAATGGAGTGTTGGGCAACCAAGAAACAACATGTAGATAAGATGAGTGTGGCTGAGATGAGGATGTTAAGGTGGATGTGTGGCAAGACTAGACAAGACAGAATTAGGAATGAGTGTATTCGAGAATGGGTAGGAGTAGCACCGATAAAAGATAAGTTCAGAGAGAATCGATTGAGATGGTTTGGTTACATTCAATGGAGACCAACAGAGGCAGTAGTGAAGAGATGAGATGCTGTAACAATAGAGGGGATTGTTAGGGGACGGGGTAGGCCTAGATTAACGTTGGTTAACGTTGTAAATAGAGATATGGATCTACTTAATTTGACTAACGAAATGGCCTTTGATAGGGCCGCGTGGAAAAGGAGGATTCATGTAGTCGACCCCATTTGATGGGACTTAGGGCTTGGTTTGGTTTGGTTTGGTTTGGTTTGATTTATTCTTATGGAGTTTTTACTGTAGCTGAACATACTCAAACCTGCATTAAATTTGCAGTTTGGCATTGACAGGAAAGGACTAATTGACCCTTAATATTTTTGCTTTGACATGAACTAACACATGGGATAGATTTGAGTTCCGTGTCCACAAGCAAGTGATTGATCTCTTCAGCTCCTCAAATGTGGTTAAGCAGATCACCTCTATCACTATTGAAACTAGTGTTGAGGTTGAGGTTACAATTGCTGATTCCTAAAAAATAGTTAGTGTTGTGTGAACCTTTTTCTTCGATGTTTAACATGGGATCAAGATTTGTAGTAGCAAGTTACTTGGTCTGAGTTTTATCAATTACAATTTTGAAGTTTAAAAGTTAGAGTTTGATGTGACATACGCCTTTTGATGTTATGTTTTTATTTTTAAGAAATTCGAATGCATGCTATTTTTTTTATATTTTTGATCCGCTAATGGTTGGGAAACTCTCTTTGGGGTATTGATATCTGGAGATTGGTTTGTGTTTGAATATTGTGCATTAGGTGAAAACTAGTTACATAGACTGGTTGTTAATGGTGTTTTTGTTGGTTTGTCTGTCACTTTACCAGTTATTTTTTAATTTTTTGTTGATTTGTGTATTATGTTTTTTTTCTTCGTACTCTCGACACTTTTCTTTTGTTTTAGATACAAATTTGAGTTTTAAATTATTAAAAATTATTAATATTTTTGAAGGATGTTTTATATAATTTTGTAAAGAATATTTGGTTGACACTGTATTGTTATAGGGTACATATATATTATTATTCGTATATATGATTTTATGAACGTGAATGTGTGTGGATGTGGATGCATTTTATTTTAAAAAATATTAATAATTTGTACAGGGAATAAATTAATGAAATATATATATTTATTTTATGAAAATATTTTTTTTTGTGACAGTAATAAACCGTCGCTAAAGCAATCATTATTTCTTTGCATTTTGTTAGTAACGGGCTAACATGTCACAAATATTATCTTTAGTGACGGTTTAACTGATGCGAATATATTATTGATTTAATTTTATTTTTTTGCAACATTTAAGACCGTTGCTAATAATACTTTTTGCGATGTCAATTACCATCTCTAAAAAAGTTTTTGGTGACAGCATCCTAAACCGTTGCTAAAAGTGATGTTTTCCCCACTTTTTTGTGTCAAGTTATAACGTTGCAAAAATCATTGATTTATTGTTGCTACAAGAAAGCAACGGTTTGTAACCGTCGCAAATATTTTTTGTCACGCTCCCTTTCGCTACCCTCCATTTTCTGTCGCTATTCCGTCGTAAAAAGTCTTTTATGACGACATGTGAACCTTTTGCTACGACGACATGTGGATCTTTTACGACGTTTGAGACCATCGCAAAAAATTCGATTTTTAGTAGTGTGCCGAACTAATAATCTATTGAACCTCACATATGGAGGCGATTAAGCATGAACCTTAGACACATAATTGACCCATATTATAACAAGACTAAACTAAACTGACCCAATCCATAAAAATTAAGTCGTGTTCCTTCATTTTTAGGATCTTTTGAACACTAGGGATAAGCTAATAAAGATAAAAAATCAAAAAATTATTAAAAAAGTTAAAAATCCTATACTATTCAAAGGTAGCTTGTGGAGAAAGCCACCAGGGCAAAATGAATTCAACTATCTAAAAAGTCAAAAAATTAAAAGTCAACAAATCAAAAGGGTGAAATGGTCATTTTAATTTTACTACAATATTTTTGATTACACATTTTTCGTAAAAAGTCAAAAGTTATTCTAAACATACATATATATTTTTTTCTCTATTTTTTTAGCTAAAAAGTCAAAAAGTGCATTTATATAGTACATCCCAAACAACCACTTAATTTGAATCATTTTAGGTTGATAAAATACTCAATATTGATTTAGGACATTCCAAACAGGACCTTAAAGCCAAAAAACTATTCTTAAATAAAAATTTCAACAAATATACTCCCTCCGTCCCAAAATATTAATCATTTATTCTATTTTTTATTGTTCCAAAATATTAGTCACTTTTCAAAAATCAAGTACAAAAATAATATAAATTTCCTATTTTGTCCGTTTAAATTTATTAACATAAAAAGTACAATTATGACATTGATATTTTTCAAAAAATATACTATCAAAGAGTAATTTTGAAAAATCAATTTTTTTTAAAGTAAAAATATACTATCAAAGGGTAATTTTAAAAAATCAATTTTTTTTAAAGTTTAATAATTGTACTATCAAAAAAGTTAAATTTTTCAAAACGAACTATTATTTTAAAACGGAAGAAGTACTTTTTTAAATCATTGATGATAACTAACTTTACTCCTACAGAAGGTGAATCAAAGTCAAAGACCAAGGAAATCATTGAAAACTGATGGTTTTGAATTCTCACAAATTAGCAATCTAATTTGAGAGAATGATTTAAGCTTGATGGATTTATTTTGAAATCGATTTCGATAATTTAAATTATTCATTTTTTATGATTCATTGATTAGAATATCCATATAAAAAATTAAAATAATTGAAAATGGATAATTACATGTTCGAATTACATTTTTGTTACAAAAAATAAATGATTATTCTGAAAATTATATTTATTGTCCATTTTACTACCGATATCTAATCATTTTAAATTTTTTCACAAATATACTACTTAACAAATCTTAAAAGGTAACTATTCAAATAATGAAAATCAATCCCAAAATTAATCCATCAAACCCAAATTATTCTCTCAAGTTGAATGGGGACTTGAATCCAATCACAAAAGCAAACAAAACCCGCCAACCGCCCGCCCCCCCCCTCTCTCTCTCCCACACACACACACACACATGTGAGTACCTAATAATTCTCTCAAGTTCTCACACACACACATGTGAGTACCTAATAATTCTCTCAAGTTCTCACACACACACATGTGAGTACCTGATAATTCTCTTAAGTTCATTGTCATGGAACAAAACCCACCAAGTTCAGAAACGTTGGAGCAAAACCCATCCAACAACGTTTCTAAAAAACCAATGATTTTGTTTCTCAAGTTACTTCTTTTAATCTGATAAATCCACCAAAACACCATTGTCATCGAGTTTACTTTATTTCAATTTTTCATTTACTCGATGTACGGGGAGCAAATATTCTGCGGAACTCGTACTCCTTTCGTCCAAGCTCCTCATTTGTCTGATCGACCTGCGAGCACAACAGTGATGAGCTACCCGGCGGTGTATGGCTGGAAAACCCCTCCGACGGTCAAGTTAGCACACACTCAGGGATAGAGAGAGAGAGAGGAGAGTTGAGTGTTTTGGTTTATCTCACCAAATGATGTTCTCCCTCCAGCATGGGGGGCGCAGCCATGCTTATATACTTTCTGTGCTCAACTCAGCACCCATTAGTCTCTCGACACGTGGAGCTGCTCTCCCATCTGTCAGCACAAATCCAGCGAACACCACCTAACCAAACCGTCAGACAACATTAGCGGGAACTCGACAGCCTGGTGACATTACCACGACCGTGCTGCGTAACATGCCTGAGTGCTCCACTCACCGAGCTCCATAACGGCCGAGCTCGGTAGCATTCCAGCAAAGCCGAGTTCAAGGCATGTCAGCCGGTGAACAAAAGACATTCCCCGCCGAGCTATGCGTGCGACCCATGGAACCCGGGTTGGCAGGCGGTCATCTTGGCCAAGTAAGCTCAGTCTAAACATGGGACCTGGACCTCGGGCCTAGGCCTCGACCGAGCAAGATCAACTCCACGGAAACCCCAGTTAGCTTGGCCTAAACAGGGGGCCTGAGCCACGACTGAGTGAAACCCACTCGAAACAAGCCCAAATTAGCTCGGCCCATACGTGCTCGGCCCTATCCAGTCCGGCTTCTTCCACGGCCCAAAGTCAGATTATAAATCTCCCTCTCAATTGCCCCTTAATTCTATCCGCGCTAGCGTGACTGGGATTCCATTACAAGGCCGGGCTAGACTCTTTGCTCGGTGGTTCACTTTGCTTGATTTAGAAACTTCAAAGTAGACAAGCAAAGTCAGCTCGGCAACTTACTTCTTTGCGAGTAAAATCAGCTCAGCAACTTCCTTGGCGAGCAAAATCAACTTGGCAAGGACCTTCAAAGTTAGAGAGAAAAGTTAGCTCGGCAACTTACATCTTGGCGAGCAAAATCACCTCGGCGAGGAACTCTACAGTCGGCAAGCAAGGTCCGCTCCACGACTTGCTTTTTGGCGAGCAAGATCAGCTCGGCAAAAACTCCAAGGTCGGTGAGCAAGGTCCGCTACGCAACTTGCTTCTTGGCGAGCAAGATCAGCTCGGCAAGGAACTCCAAAGTTGACGAGCAAGGTCAGCTCGGCGACTTGCTTCTTGGCAAGCAAGATCAGCTCGGCAAAGAACTCTAAAGTCGGTGAGCAAGGTCAACTCTGCGACTTTCTTCTTGGCGAGCAAATTTAGCTCGGCAAGGAATTCTAAAGTTGATTAAAACCATCAACAAACCTCTTGCCGAGTAAAATCCATCCGACAAAGAATTCCAAAGTTGATAAAATCATCAACAAACCTCTTGCCGAGCAAAATCCACCCGGCAAGGAATTCTAAAGTTGATAAAATCATCAGCAAACCTCTTGCCGAGCAAAATCCGCTTGGCAAGGAATTTTGATCTTTCCGTCAAAATGATCGTTAGTTACCCCTTGGTCCGCACTAAATCCGCTTGGCGAGGCGAATATACAACAATTTTCAAGAAAATATTCTACTTGTTTCATTGCGCCAATGGCAAAAAGGGGTTACAAAAATAGAACTAAGAACAAAACTTTAGATTGGCAGAGTTCGATGTTTTAGAAATGGATCGGCCATTCACATTCTGTGAGTTTTTTGCCCCTTTTCCTCGGCCTTCTTACTGACATCTTCCAAAAACCGAACTTCTTATAACCCTTCCATGGTGGTTTGCATGGCCATCATCTTGTCTGACTACGTAAACCTTTCCCACTACTCTCTTGTTCTCTACTACCGGACTTGCCGTCACGGTAGTTGCGGCTGCATTGTGTTCGACTCGAATGTGCTCATTAATATGTTGCATGAGTAATTTCATGGTCGACGGTTGATTCATTGTGAGCGAGTCTCTCAGTCGATGTCCAACTGGAAGATCGCGCTTATATTGAGTGATTGCAAGGTTGGTCAGGCAATCAAGGATCTCGTTAAAAGTCTCCCAATACTTAGTGTTATACACCTTCAAAGAGTCACCTGGCTCCATCTTTGCTCTCAAGAGATGGTCAATTTCCTTGGGCGTTTTGATGTTTGTCTTAAATCTGGTGACAAATGCCTCTGCCAACTGTTGCCACCCCTCGATGCTCTCCTTCGGCAGCCTTTCAAACCATTTTAGGCCCAACTCGCCCAAACTCAATGGAAAAACAAGGCACATGAGCGCATCGTTTCCCCTGTGCCCAGCCATAACCTATTGGAAGTGGCTTACGTGCATATATGGATCAGTCTTTCCGTCATAGAGTGTGAACTTTGGTTGATGGAACCAGGGGGGGAGCCGTGTGTTCTCGATCTCTCCAGTAAAAGGGGTAGTGCTCAGCCTTTCTAACTCTCTGTCTAGTGGCGCGTGTGCCGCCAAGCGTGGTTGTGGTATGGCGACTTTTTCATTGGTTCGCCCTCTAGGGACCAACCGTTACAGTGCAGGCACCCTCTATGCCTCCTGCCGGCGAGCGCGCTCCTCCAACATATCCTTCAAGTCTTTCGAACAGTCGAAGCGAGAATATCTCAACGCCGTCGTCGGGCGTGAGGGGTGGTAACTGTTATCCTACGTGCGAGATATCATCGCCGGCACAACGTAGTCTCCAACTCTGAGGCTTCTCGTGACGGAGAGTGAAGGGTGCGACATCTATTAGGACTGTTGGAACGGTGGGAATGGGCGCGCTCACTGTGGTTTCGCACTCCAGCGACACCCTTTCCTTTTATCTGGCGTCTCATGGCCGCCTTTATCTCCGTCGCCATATTCTTGATGATGGTATCATGGTCTCTCAGCTTGTCTTCCAAGTGTTGAGTGTGTGAATCTCGCCGTCGATGACGCTCTTTTGGAATGACAGAGCGCCCAAAACTCCTTGCGCGCTTGTCTCGCGCATCCTAGGAAAGTCCTTGTGCGGTCTCCAAATCAGCCATCGTCAGACTGGCGGACAGGCCATCTCTGCACCGAACAAACTCTGGCGTGATGCCGTTGATGGCGAACAACGAAATGTCGTCGTGATTCGCCATAAAAGATGACCAAAAAAGCTTGGAGGACAAGGTTTTGTTTGTCGTTTTCCCACAGACGGCGCCAATTGTACGGGGAGCAAATATTCCGCAGAGCCCGTACTCCTTTCGTCCAAGCTCCTCGTTTGTCTGATCGACCTGCGAGCACAACAGCGGTGAGCTACCCGGTAGTGTGTGGCCGAAAAACCCCTCCGACGATCAAGTTAGCACACACTCAGGGATAGAGAGAGAGAGGAGAGAGTTGAGTGTTTTTGGTTTATCTCACCAAATGATGTTCTCCCTCCAGCATGGGGGGCACAACCATGCTTATATACTTTATGCGCTCAACTCTGCACCCATTAGTCTCTCGACACGTGGAGCTGCTCGGTACGTTATATAGTTTATTTTAAGACTTATATCCATATTTTATTATATTATCTATGATACACTAGTTATAAATAACATTATTTTTTTGATATTTTTCGAAATCAATTGCAAAAACTTGTGTGAAATATTTTTGTAAAAATTTTCAATATTGTAATTAATAAGTACCCCCCCTAATTTAATTTTCTGGCTCCGCCACTGCCAATCATGCCTGTTTGGTTATGGGTACCGGTGATGGGTTTAGTAAATGTGCACCATGTTAGAAATGGTTTTGGAAAATATGATTTTTCCTTAATTTTGGTCTAATTTTTAGGTGGAATCCATGGGTCAAATTTGGTGGGTCTAAATGGTAACGCGTTTTATGCCGCATAGTGATTCACGTGGTATATTTGGTTACTCAAAACTATTATTGGGTAAATGGAAAATTAAAGCCAAAGAGAGCTCCATGGAAATGGTATTTTTGGTGAAATTTCCTAAAAGTTTGATTTAAAGCTTGTCCCACATTGATTTTGTAGGCAAGTTTTGAGTGGGTTTATAAGGCATGAGATTATAACTTAGGGAGGACCTCAAGGGGCACCTCAAGTTTGTAGAAGGGAGAGGTTATGAGCAAATTGGGCTAGACCCATTGGACCAAAAAATAAACATGCGTCGTCAGCCCGCCCGATCGTCTGTCCGTCCAGGCGGGCTGGGCTTAGCTTGGGCGCAGGTGCGTGGTGTGAGGTTGGGCTTGTCCAGCCCAATACTAATTAATTTTTGGAATTTGAATTTCGAAAATTAATTTCAAAATTGGCTCCGATTTTTCCCCACCTGAACAGATGTATATCTGTGTGAATTTAAACCAAACAGATTCATATCTGTTTGAAATTTAAACCCAACAGGTTCCTTACCTGTTCATTCAAACCGAACAAGTATAATACTTGTTCAAACAGGTTTTGCACCTGTTTAATTCAAATCAAAGAGCCACGAATTTTCCTAAATAAAGGCAGTCCTTCATTTGGATTTTCACTCCAATTTTCATCCCAAATTCTGCCTGCTCTGCATTTTGCTACATAATTTTTCCTGTGAGTTTTTTGTGAAAAAGAGTGTAAACATAAAGTGTGTTCGTTGTGTGAATAATTTGTAGTGCTGCTATTATTCGCAGTTGATCATTTTATACTGGGAGATAGATGTCCACAATCTGAAAGCACCGTGCAAAGGACGAATCTGTCTTAAGGACACAGTGTTAAATACTGGACTTGATCAGAATTTTGTTCAATAAATACATAAGGTTATTAATTTATTTACTTTCTGTTTTATTATTTTTCCTGGTTTAGATTTTGATTTTATTTTTGTAACAAAATAAAAATCTATTTTTATTTATTTATTTTATATTCTTGTTTGATTTTTGAAATCAAACAATCTCTCTCATTTTTTTTATTTATTCTGTTTGTTGTTAGGTACACAAACATAATTTATTTGTAATACAGTGAAGATTGTCCAACACACCAATCATGCCTGTTTGATTATGGGTATAGTAAATGCCTGTTTGATTATGGGTATAGTAAAGGTGCACCAGTCATGGGTAGGGCTGCAAATGAATCGAATTATTCATGAACAAGCTCGGCTCGGCTCGGCTTGGTTCGTTTAGTAAATGAGCCAAGCTTGAACTCAAGCTCGAATATTAGGCTCGTTTAGTAAACGAGCCAAGCTCGGCTCGTTTATCTTTATTTAAATTATGTAATAAATATATTATTTACATATTAAATAATATAAATAATATTTTTTTATTTAAATAATATAAATAATATTAAAAAAAATTATCGAGCCGAGCCGAACCGAGCCAAGCTCGAGCTCAACAAAGTTTGCCTCAGCTCGATTCATTTGCAACTCTAGTCATGGGTATAATAAAGGTGCACCAATCATGCATGTTTGGTTATGGGTATAGCAAGAGTGTTTGGTTACGGGACAGTCCACTTTGTGACAGCGACTCCAAATCACCACCATTTATTATTTATATTTTATTTTTTAAAATTTCTAGTATTTATTTCATAAAAATTACATGGCCAGTTGAGGTAATGAAATTATAACATTATTTTTAATATTTTGTATTGAAATAAATATATATATATATATATACGTATACTTATGTTACATTACACAATTATTGTCCATTCTCTTCTAAATTATCTAATTATTCACATTTTCCCACAATGTTTAGACATAATAATTATATTGATGTTTTGACCAAACTCTTATGAAATTTATATTTATAAGAGTGAGAGATTGTTGTTGGCCGTGGTAGACTAATGGCGAGATCTATCTCGATGATTTCAATAATTTATCTCTTCTCTAAGTAAATTATTTATGTAAGAATTTAAATGGGTCACTTACGAGTATGTTCTATTAATTAGATTTATTTATTCAAAAGTCTTGAGGAATAGATTTATCACTGTAAATTTATTCATAAAAATAAGAGAGTGATAAATTTATCACTGAATAAAAAATGAATAGAACTTAATGGTATTTAAGTCTCTTTAATGGGATTAGTTGGTAATTATCCTAATTTAAATTGGTTAGACAATTATAGTTACTAATCGGATTACATTTTGTTTTTAAAAAAGTATACCGACTTGAATGATTGTAAAAATTGACCATCCATTATTTTGAAAATAAACTAATAGAATCATATGTGGTTATAGTTATTCAATTAATTTAAATTCTTATATAAATAATTATTTCTCAAAATTTTAAAAAATAAACATTTCATATTATTGAGGTGAGCCATATGTTGACCCACTTAGGTCCACCAACACCATCTAATTAGAAATTTCTATTTACAGATATCTTTTTCTTAAATGGGTGCATCAATGATGGATTAAAGGAGTGTTGGGGATGATCGTAAGTCTAAAAGTTAAAATAATAATAATAATAATAATAATAATAATAATAACAATAAAATCTCATATTATATTATTAGTTAGTACGATAATTTTAAAATTATATGAGTTAACTCTTCAAATTTATATATTCACATACTAGAATTATATATGTGATGGAAATTTTAAAAATAGTTATAGTCAAATTTTATTAAAAATTATCTAAAATTTTAAGTCTTCAATTACTATTAATCTGTTAGCAAAAATCTGGTTAGGGCCAAATCGACAAACGAGTTTCGACAGAAAACCCAGAATTTCACAAACAACAACAAATCAAGCAATTGTGGTTTGAATGTCCTATGCCTTGATATTCAAAGACTTCTTTGGAAGTTGTAATGCAAAGACATAAATGTGAATAGAAGAGAAAACCATTGTTTATAAGGTATTAAGATGTGTGCGTGTATGCATATGTATATTTGCAAGGTTATTGTACATTAATACAAAGTGAAGTTTTGATAAGTGCTTTTAGAACTAGATTTTGAAGTTACACCAACATGGTTTTTATACTCATGCACGCCAAGGCGATCAAAAACTGTCTCAAAAACCCAAATGGCATAATCTCAACTATTCCAACTATAGAGAGCCTCTAAAAGTCTCTAATCCTTGCATTGGGGACAAAAGTAAAAACGAAATCGGTCCGCCTCCCCTACTTGCCCTTCATAAGGAATAGTTTGGAGGAGAATGAATTGTCGTAATATGTTGGCACCAAAGCAAGGTACCATTCCATTTATCCCCACTAGAGAGAGGAAAGTTAATCCTAACGCCCTGATGCCAATTTGATCAAAGAGACGAGCACCCGTGTACGGTGTACCATACCACGATATCAAGAGTAATGCTCTCAAAAGTTTGTCCAATCGGCAATATCTTGTGGGATCTTTAGGTGCAAGCGGTTTTTTTTTTTTTTTTAAAATGTTCAGTATAAAAAGAAAAGAAAAATAAAATAAAACAAAACAAAAATAAATAAAGAAACGAAACAAAGAAAATAAATAGTATATCAAATGGCTAAATACCCACAACTATAATAGTTTGGCGCAACCCAAAAAATGGCATGTTGGGTTGTCATGCAAGATGAAAAGGCCGCGGTAGGTCTCTGCAGCTACGGTAGATATAATGGAGTGACAAACCATTGCACGTCTATTGCTTTTTAAAAAAAATCCCCACTGGATTGTAATTACTCTATTGATGATTTCTGGTAAAGGTTTTCAAACCAAAATGTACAAGAACCAACGGTTGGTTAACCACCAAAACCACAAAAGGAAAAATAAGAAAATACCAACCAAATTAATACATGAGCTACACAATATGTTAACCAGATTTTTTATTTTTCTCAAATAAAAAAGTTTCATCAAATTACTAAGTAAAATGCAACATTATTATAAGAGTAGAGAAACTATTGATTGAATCAAACAAAACATTAAATAAAAATAATATAAAAAACAATCTAATTAAATAAGGAAAATACACACAGGATAATGAGAAGCAAAGAATACCTTATTTTATTTTTTTTCCGACTCCACTCATGCCATCAAAACTTCCAAGTAAACAACCTATTTTATTACAAATGAAAAGAAAAAAAATATATAAGAAACTATATACTCTTGATTCCAAGCATTGAAACCAATTAGAAAATAAAACAGTTGCACTCCAAAAGTTCTTGTTCATTAATATATATAAAAAAAAAAACATATATATATATATATGCTCTAATAAAAATAATGCACGGCAAAAAAAATAATTCAAATAGTGAACTTGAATCTAGACAAAGATGAACTGAAGAAAAGAATGTAAACCCCTAAGAAGTGTTAACATGTCTAGCAATGACAATGAAGTAGAAACATTACCTGAAGACTGAGGGGGCATGTCTCTCGGCCCTTTCGAGTCTCAACCCATTAAAATGATGAAAACAAAGTGATGAAGAATGTGATCTAGTCTCTGTTTATTATGGGAGATTCTATTCCACACTTTTTTTTTTGTCTCTGTACAAAATTAATGAAGATAAAAGTTATGACAATTTTATCATGAAGCCAAATGACCATAATGACTACAAATTCAATCTAGATTTTCTATATACACATCTTTAAAAAACAATAATTCTCAATGCACGTCTTTAAAAAAAAAATTAAAATTAAAACTTAGTTCCTACATTGTTTCTCACTACCTCTATTGTTTTCCATTACTTGCTGCACTCCATTGTTACACTCTATCCATTGCTTCCATAAACTACTCTGATATCAAGTACTGAGAAATTGTAAAACATTCAGCACTACAGAACCAATTTAATTTTAAAAAATCAAAATTTAAATATCAAATATTTATAAATAATTCCGAAGTATATAATTGAAAATGTACAATAATTTCGGAATATTTTTTCTGATTGGTGAGTGACTTCTTGTTTCTGAATATTTTTTCTGATTGATCTTTCAGTTCCTTCGGATTTCAATGGCTGCCAACAACAGCCCCTCTGCCCTAGAAAAAGAACAGGTACTTCATACATATACAGACATTGACACTATATATGTATGCTTATGAGATAGGCAAAACTATTAACCGGAAAAGATTACTTTTTTTGATGATTTTGTGCAGATCACGAAACCCCTCTCTTTTTTTCTTGAGATCGCGAAATGGAAGAACAATAACATATTATTGCTTTTATTGTTCACAAATACTGTAGGGTTACGGTGGGATGGTTGGGGAAAGAGGAGAGAGAAAGTGGAATTACCTGAAAATGCTTGGGGTTTTCGCAGCAATTGCTTTGGTTCTCCTACTCCTCTTTATTCTCTGTATGCGGCTAGGGTTTCCCAGCATCCACTTCGTTTGCTCATATATATAGATATATAGAGAGAGAGAGAGAGAGAGAGAGGGCTTCAATCTGCTATAGTTTTGGTTCAAAAAAAAATCCCGAAATAGTTATGAAATTTAAAAGGAAGGCTATGAATAGAAGGAAAATGGGCGGAAACACTAATTAATGCCGAGCAAGGATCCTCTAGAGTGATTTTTTCCTAAAGTTTCCTAAAGTGCTACAGTGTATGGTTGAGATTTACTGGCAAGTCACATCAATTTTTCTGATGTGACTTGCCAGTAAATCTCAACCACACAATATAGCACTCTAGGAAACTTTAGGAAAATTTCACTCTAGAGGATCCTTGGTGATTAATGCCGCTATAAAGATGTGATAGTGCTTGTGTCTTTTTTTTTCTTTTTTTTTTAAAAAATAATTGTTACATTATTAGTGATTATTTTAAAGTACCATCACTTTTAGTAGTCTCTATTATTGCTCTCTAGATGAAATAGTTAGTATGTTATTTAATTTTTATGTTATCATTAATGTATTTTGGATAAATTATAAATATACTTTATGAGATTTGTTTAAAGTATAAATTATTTTTTGTGATTTAGAAAATTTGAAATATTTCTTTATCAGAATTTTTATTTAACAGAATTAACAAGAAAAATAAAATTTATAATTTTTTTCGTATATAATAATGAAATTACTTAAATTATTAATTGAAATATGTTTCTAAAATTATTAAAAATTGTTAATTGACTTAATAATTTTTTAATAAAAGAAGCGATTTGTTATAAAATTAGAAATCTCAGGGGATGAAATATAATTTTTAAAACCATAAGAATGATTCGTATTTTAATCAAATCTTAAGAATATATTTTTAATTTACCCAATGTATTTTTTTTTATTGAAATAGATAATATTTTATATAAAAATAAATAAATAAATAAATAAATAAATAACTTATGATAGTATGTGAATGGTGGTACTCTTCCCCTCTCTTTCTCTCTGTACTACTCTTACCAGTTGTAGTATAATGAAAGTATTCAAGTACTAGTTGTAAGTATTTCTTTTCCATATTTCTTTTAATGTATGTCTGTTTATACTCTTGTTATATTAAATGATATATTAGCATTTCATATTGAAAGGAAAAATAATTTTCTTGAAAACTTTTTATCAATTTGGCCTAATGACCCTTGGGGTCTCTTATTTCCATAATACCATTGTAGAAGAAACTGTTCTCTACATTATTTCCGAAGATGTCCAATGGCTCAATGATCCTTAGGAAATTAAAAGGCGGTATTTGACTACTCAAAACTCTCCACCGCACTTTGATCAATACAGATACATTTTCGAGCAAATTCTTACTGAACTTGTGTCGATTGATTTTAAGCATACATTGGCTGAACCCAACCGTACTACCAGTCCAATTAATTATAGCAAAGCTGCTATCCAGAATATTTTATCCATGCATGCTTGGGGTATTCATCTCCATGTTACCCGCACAGTTAAGATCCGTAATAAGGAGTCTCGTTACAGTTACTGGGATTATATAGATGCTTTTACTCAAGCATTTTATTATATGAATTCCCCTCGAAGCCATTCTTGGTTCTTTCGAGTTCTTCCCGACGTCCTTAAAAACGATCTCCCAAATTGGTTTCTCTCGTTTGTTTTGAGTTCTTCCCGATGTCCTTAAAAGCAATCTCCCCAACTGGTTTCTCGTTTGGTGGGATAAATTTGGTTTACAGCTCGATGCATTTCCAGAACCCATTCCTCTTGCATTCAATGAATGGCAAGCTGCTTACAGTCACCTTCCAGTCTACAAGGACATTTCTATGTCCAAATCTACAGCCCATTTTGTTATCAGATTTGGTATCCCATGGATTTGGAAATAGGATTTCCAGTGTGATTTCCAGAACAAAATTCCCCGTTTAAAAGGAGTTTTCTTTTATAAATGGTGGAATAAAATGGATGATCCCAAACCTCACCAGGAACTTCTCCAGAAAATTAAAGCTCATACACAGGCTTGTTGATATGCGACTCCCAAACTCATCCCAGCTGCTCCAGTACAAAACCTTTTTGTCCAGATTCAGAATGAATTAAGGCAAAAATTTCCAAGATTATCTGAGCAAGAATTAGTTATTAAAAGCATGGACTTCATGAAAGAACAATTCTTGCAGTCCTTCTCCAGAGACGATACCAGTATGAAATTTGGTTCCAGTAGCCATGGCAGCCATGATGAAGATGAACATTTTGATCCTCTTTTGGATGAAAATGAGTTTACAGTATTGGCAAGTGAATCACAAGACCCTGCTGACGCAAATGCTGATGTTGATCCCAACTTTGGAGATTTTTGGGATTCTCTCACAGGCCTGATTACTAAAAAAATGAGTCAGGACAAACAGTCAAAAGGAAAAGGCAAAACTGAATAATGCTTTGTCCCCCACGATGTTCCAGTATCTTTACAGCAGCATAAGGCGACAAATTTGCTTTCGGCAAAAGTGGATTTTTTGTCCGCCAGAATACCAGCTGGCCAGCCAGCTGTCCATCCAGTTACATCCTACCAACATTTGAAGATAAGGGAATCACGAGGAGATAAGGAAGAACGACTCCAAGCCATTCAGGACACGCCACCTGTCTACCTCATCCTTATCCTTTTATTTTCAGTTTCTATATAAGGGATGCCTCACCCTTGTTGAAGGCACGCTAAATATTTTAGTTTTTACTTATATAAGTGTGTACTCTCGCCCTCTCTTTCTCTCTGTACTACTCTTACCAGTTACAGTATAATAAAAGTATTCAAGTACTGGTTGTAAGTATTTCTTTTCCATATTTCTTTTAATGTATGTCTGTTTATACTCTTGTTATATTAAATGATATATTAGCATTTCATACTGAAAGAAAAAATAATTTTCTTGAAAACTTTTTATCAATTTGGCCTAATGACCCTTGGGGTCTCCAGCAATTAGAAGAAACTAATCGACAGATTAGCCAAGTCCAGTTACAAATACAAGAACAAATTTGCCTTTTGGCTGCGGCCATTAGGCCTCCTCCAGAACAGTAGATTATGAGACCATATATGGCATAATTAGAATAAAATAAAACAAAACTATGATTAATGTTATTCTTGGGTTACTACTTAATAATGGGTAGAACAATGTTAGGATTAGTGGGACGTTACCCAAGTCGCGTAGAGTTAGACCGTTAGCAGTGATTGCGGTTAGGTCATTCTCGTAAGTCGTTGACAGACGTGCTAGCTTTACCCTGTGTCAAACACCATTATTGGTATCGGAGCCAAGTTTACTGTTAATCATAGTTAGTTTTATTTCATTTTAATTATACATATATGGTCACCATACATCCAGATGAGTACTGTTCCTCCAGAAGAATTGTCAAATACAGTAGCCAACACAATGGCCAATACAGTAGCTTCTACATCAGAAGTCAGAGAACTTGTTGCTTATCAAGATGTTAAGGAAGCACTTGATAAGTGGACAATCCCAAAGGTCAAACCAAATACTATCTATAAGATAGGTATGCTAGACTTCTCTAGTAAAAAAATCATTAAAACTTTTGAGCATGCAGCCTCAGTCCAGAATAATGATGAACTTATGTATTTATTACATATCCAGGATCTATACCATTTTCTACAGAAATATAAGTATGTCTACATAGGACTTGTGCAGGTAGCTTTCAAGCCTTTGACTCTTTTAGGTCAAAATACCAGCATACAGTGTACACTACGAGATGGTAGATGTACTAATTGGCGAGCCTCACTTATGGAGGCCATAGAAACCAGTCTCGCCCATGGTCCAGTATATTTTGACATATACCCAAACTTGAGTATAGCTCTTTCAGATCAAAATTTATCTAAGGTTTTGGAACTTAGAGTGTTATCTCATGGATATGAGTATCTTCCAGGATCCCCACCTTTTACGGTAATTTCCAGAATTTATCTAAAGGTTTTATCCACCTTAAATCCATATATCAGAAAGCAAAGTGACCAAGGTCATACAGTGCTAATTGACACTAATCTTTACAGTAGCCAAGTAGCTATGCCAAAAATGATTGAATGGCAGAAAATAACTTTTCCAGAAAGATGGCAAATCACTAATGCTGTTCCCCCAAGACCAATTGTTCAACAGTCATTAGATGAAATAATTCAGACCGATAGAGGTAATGTTCATCTTCGTTTCCAAAGGCCACAAAGGCAATTATCTCGAAGCATGTCAACCACAAGTGTTAGATCTGCTCCCTCTTTTAGAGAAGCATACAGGGTAGACTTTCCTGAATCATCTAGACATTCCACTGCTAAACGCCTAGAATCAGTTATGCAAGGAATGCCTTCCAGACCTCCTAGTAACCCTGACCAAACTCCAAATCCCATGGATCCAGTAGTTCAAGGATTACAATTTTCTGCAAATAGAATTCCACATGGTATTTATGAACCAAGGGAATCCAGTAGAAACCAAAGGCCTTACAGCCCTACTGCCAGTGACATGAATTTTAAAGTTTAATGGATTTTAGTCCAGGAAGTGAAAATAGGAAAATCCTCAATCAGGATTTATACTAGGACAAGTATTCAGAATTCAGGACATGGTACTTTAGTAGCCATAGTCAGACACAATTACAAGAATTTAAAATCCAGTATTATTCTTATTTAGAAGAACACCAGATATTAAAACCTTTCCCTTTATGGTTTAAGGAAAATACTGAATATTCTAATAAGCAAATCAATGTTTTAGAAAATATCCAGAAGAGTTGGGTAACCACTGATGGTCAAAGTATTACTTCAATACACCCTCCTCCAAAATCATTAGAATTACGACCTAGTGATTCTACTTCCAGTCAGCCGTTAATTATAACTGCATTTGTAGAACCTCTTACAAAAAGTAATACTGCTTTGACAGCCAAAGAAATTATTCCAATTATTAAACAGAATAATTATACTAATCTTTACTGTCAAACAGTAGGAAAACAGTTAACCAGGATTGAAGAAACAATTGTCCACCTCAAAAATAATTGTTCTTTTCAACCTAAAATTCCAGAAATTCATCTTGTAGCTATTAAGCCTACACCTACAGTAACAAATTTTAATTTAAA